CCAATGATTCATTCTGAAGAGTTAAAACCCATCTGGAACTATACCTATAATTCCATCAATGACTTTTGACATGATTTCATCTGTACAGGAAACATTGTTTGAAAATGAAGTGCTGTTGGTCCTCCACCAACCAGTATTATACCACATTGGAATAATCCACAAATACATGGGACCAATCATTTCTCTATAATATGCCTATTTAATATGCTCAGTATGAAAGAGGTACATTAGAATAATACATCACATACCTCACACAGTATCTTATAAGCAATATTAGGATATGCATTAATGTGAATGATTCTAAAGTTCTTAACATTGCTCTATGAGATCATAATATACATTTTGTTATTTAAAATGAATAGCTTACTAACTTTTTCAAAGTAAGATAAAGGGTTACCACCTGATAAGACAACAAAATCGTTCAATTTCCATCCTTGGTCCTCAAAGATATTAGTAGCACTTTCAGTGACCTGTTATTAAATGCCACATTACTGTCATTATCCAAACACTTCTCTCGAGGTAACTCTATGTTGCGTGTAGATGTGTATTAAACTATTATTACATTCTAAAACAAAATTTTGATACCATAGGGAAATAACTGAGATATATAATCACCGTCATTGTTTTGGAAGCCTAGTTTATAATGAAAGTGTTTAGAAAATAAACTTGTTTGGCAATGCATGCATGGATGGCAATGGCATTACTTTTATTTTCATGGATTAATTATCCTTTCACTTTATTTAATGGGTTATACACCCTAAGACACATTCCAATCTTGAACCAATGCAGGGTTCTTTCCTCTTCCATTGGTGTTCTAACTAGTGTTTCCTGTAATATTAATCATAATTATGCTTCTGTCAACAGATGAGGTTACTCTGCTACAAAATCATAGAGTGGCCTTATGATGTGAAATTTTGGATAATATGTTTTGGACATCACTACAGTGTACTTTGTTTTGGATAATAGTGCAGATAATGACAAAGCTGTTTACATCTTCTACATGTGGCTAGCACCAGCAAATGTCTTTTAGACATAAGGAAAAACGTACGGGCATAAAATTCCACGAGGTACTTAATTTTGAAGATTTCTTGGATAATTTCTTAACCACGAAATTAATACAAAAGGAAATATTTACTGTGCATGTGCAGCTTTTGTACTTAATGCATGTGCACATGCAAAAGCACAAAATTTAATCCCCTTAAAATTAAAAAATTGAGAACTTTTCACAAAAACTTGAAATTTGATATCCTTGAAATTTACTACCTGTATGACATATCAAAGTTACTCTGGAGCACTGAAATTCTCACAAAAAAGCAGCTAAACAGAATGCTGCATGACCTCACAAGCATTATAATAGTACATGGCTTTTGGAACAATTTTTAAAAATTTATAAAAATATAATTTTGATTAGAATCAGCTACACAGCATAATTAAGAACAATGTGTATGCATCAGGAAACTATTATAAAGGGAAAAATATTTGAAATACCCAGTTCAGCTACACAGCATAATTAAGAACAATGTGTATGCATCAGGAAACTATTATAAAGGGAAAAATATTTGAAATACCCAGTACAAGGTGTTTTGTCAATTTTTGAAGAAATTCATAAAACAATCCACTAAAAAGCTGACCAGTGAGACTATCCTGAGAGAAAGCCTTATCTAAAGCTCTTTAATTCATATTAAGTTCAATTTCTGACAATGTGAAAATGCTAACACTGGTAGCATTATAAGCATTATCTTTATTATGAATATTAATAGGATAAACAAATGCTCCACTAGGCTTTCAAACATAAATGGTTTATATATGCTTGGTAGTTGGTGAATAAAATATGTTAAGTTCTTACTTGTCTGAACAAAATCTCATCCTGTGTTATTACAGCCATCTGTCTCCATCCAAATTCTCTCATTAACTGACCCAGGGATGCCCCAGAATATCGAAAAGATAAAATCGTTCTGAAAAAGTTTTTGAATCGACTTCGATCATTCAGGATATCAGCACCAGCTGCATAAGCCAACTGTATGCGAATAATAAATACTGTATAGTGGGTTTATTTCGAGGATAATAAATTTCACAAATGACCCGTATCCGTAAGTTTGCAGAATTAATTTTTGCAAATTTCCACTATTCTGCCATCTTGTACCGTACTAAATTGATTTTCAAAGAATTTAATTTCGCAAATCTAGAAGAATCCACAAAATTTGTTATCCTCAAAAATAACCCACTATACAGTAATAGACATTAATTTAAATTGAAAAATTGCATTATTGATGACCAGGCTGTAATTTTTAAAGCACCTCAACAGAACACAAGTGTGATATGAAATATGCCCACTTACATGTGGTATATTCCAATAGTGACTAATTTCTGCTACTGGTATAGTAGCAGGAGAACATCCACATCCAATCAATGACACATAAGTAGTGTCATTGTTTATCAATTGAAAAAAATTATCAAGTGATGTAGTACGATCGCACTGGATAAAATTTTAAAAATATATATCATTATAAAAGCTTCACTGTACCTTTGAATCCAAAATATGTGTGTAGTTCAGAGTATAGTTCTGTAGAACATCGTCCCTTTCATTAATAAGCTCCAGTGCAAGATCAACTACTGGTATTGCACCACTTAGGACTAAAGGGCCAGACAGTGTAGTTATGTATCCAAAATAGAGACTTTTAGTTTTTTCAGCTGTCAATAAAGAAGAGTAAAGTAATATACACCAAAATAAAAGAAAACATTGCTTTGACATATTTTGCTCTACTTCTCTAGTCTATAGTAGAGTAC